GGTACATCGAAACAATTTAAAATGCATCGAGGATGTTGGGCACTTGAATATGCACGTGGATGGATACCACCAATGATGCCATTTGGTTTTGCAGATACATTAACTTCAACTTTAGATTTTATTACATTTTATCATACGATTCGTATTTCGGGTCGTGAAATGATTAGAAATTTATTACAAGGAAAAATATAAATTTGTTAATAATAAAGTATTTTATGAAATTGATATTTCAAAGTAAAAAAAAATAACAGTTAAATAATTGTTTATTTTTTTGATTTATTTCCAAAATACTAATATCTTTGATTGCAAATATCTGACAACCTCGTTGTACATGAACAAGTAAAGAATCAAAGTTTTAGCTATTTATTAACTACTCTCAGAGAAAAAAGTCAACGTAAAGTTATCTCTTGATGTTCACTTTTCTATCACTTGATGCTTAATAAATAAAAAAATTTTCGCTAAGTCGAAAAGAACATTATGTTAACAAAAAAGAAAATTGAAGAGTTATAAGGCCTCCCTCTCTCAAAAATCGATCTCAAACCAGGACCATCCAAATTCCATGAAATTTTCAGGATATGTTGGAGCTGATGTGGGAAAGCTATGGTAAAATTTTTAGCGGTATATAATGACGTTTGACAGAGATATTCAGCGAAAAAGGGTCAAAAATAGCTCGATCATATCTCCAAGAATTCTCTGTGAATCTTCATTCTTTACATTTAAATTTTTTTTTTATTTAAAGCAAGTTCAATGACCCAAAAAACCCCTAGAAATGATGCTGTTTCTATAGAGGTGTTTTCTTATATAATAATGAGAAAGCTTATTTTAAAAAAAGGGTCTTGAGAGAGGCTAGTCCTAAACACGAGCTTTCAAACAAAAAAACAAAGTTATTGGGTACAATGAAGCTTCTTTGAGAATTCTTGGAGATACGATCGAAAATCTATAAAACGAAAAAGATTTTAGTTTTTTTCAAAAACAGCTTATTTTTCGAATGAGGGATGACGGAAATCTTCAAAAATTTTTGGAAACAATGAAATGCCGAGTAAAAATTTTTGTCGTTTATGAGAGATCATGGGCTATCTTTTCCTGAATTTATCTTAATTTCGGTAATTCATTCTAACGAAACATGACTTTTTTTGAGAGGGCGGTTGTGGATGTCCTTGGTATTCTTTTTCACCCACACCCTGATCAAAAGGCGAATCATTAGAGTGAAAAACCATCGAAAAGTAGCTCAAAATCTCAGTTTTTCATACCCCTCGGCCATTGCAAGCCATCTTTGATATATAGGACCAACTCAAAATCAAATGAATTATATATCAGTTTGTAGAGCTTTCTTCACTCTATCGAATGGTATATAAAAGAAAGCGACTCGCATGAAAAAAAAATTCAAATGAGCCTAACTAATGTTAGATAATATGGTAAAAAATCGTGTTCACTAGAGAAATATGGACGAGTAGTATTATTGTCATCTCCAATAGTATTCTTACTAGATCGTACAATATTCATAGTTTTTATATGAAATGATGCAAAACTTAATGCTCTTTCTAATCAAGATAACTTGGGCTTACAATATTTTCCAAAAGTTATCCATGTTGATCAAATACTGGCCTACTGCAGATATACTAAAAATGCACTAAAGACCTCGAAAGATCCCAATGATCGTTTTACAATGTTTTTCTCCCAAAATGACCTTGAATACTCGAAATATTGCTTGACTTTGGTTTATAAAAACTTGCCTCACTTTTCTGTACAGAATTACTAATGAACTGTCAATGAATGGATAGTGACCCATTTTCCATTGCTTATGCATCCCCGTCCTTTCATCAATGTTCTGTATACAAGTTACAGATGTTGGTAAACGCAAAAAATTTTCACGTTTTGTTACTTCTTCTCGAAATCGTTATAGCTATATAAGCAAATAATTCTCTTCTTTCTTTATAAATAATTCGTTCTTGAGATGTTAATGAATGATATAGAGTTTGTGATATTCGAGCATCCTATAGATAAAACATTATTATATTAATAATATATTAAATGTTATATTTACAGTGAAAAAAAAGAATAATAAGCATAATCAACTGATGATCCTAATGTATGTTTTGGACCAAATCGAATAAGATATAAATGATCACTTTTAACGAACAACACTATAACAATAGTTGCTGGTGAATTACACATAAGTGGGCCATATGCTGATCAACTCAATCAACCTTAAGATATATTTGTTGATAAAACTACTAGTACATTGTATATAGCTGATCTATTAAATCGTCGCATACAAAATTGGCCAAAAAATGCTTTAGAAGGTGTTACTGGAGCTAGTTCAAATGGCGGTGAGCCAGGTTCTAATAATGCATCATTAGATAGACTATATGGTTTACGTGTTGATAAAGAAACAAAAATAGTCTATGGAGTTGATTTAATGAACAATAGAATTCAACGTTGGAAACATGGTGAAACCGAAGATGATACTATTGTTGGTGGTAATGGTATGTTTATCATTTCATTTATATTTTCTCATCAACAAGAAGAGAAAAAAAAGATATTAGAATTTTATCATCGATATTTGATTATGATGAATATAGTTTTGGAAGGTGTAAGACTAAAGAAAGTTCTAAAATATTTTTAAAAATAGTTGAGGAAAAAATTAATTTCGCGAATTAAATATTTGATTATGCGAAGAAGAAAAAATGAACTATTTTTATGATTAGGTGAAGTGAATGAAAATAATCAATTTCATCATCCAACTGATTTGGCATTTGATAGTAATGGCAGTCTATATGTAAATGATGTCTGAAATCATTGTGTTTAATTTTTTGCTTTAATTGATAATCGACCATGTCAAGCACCATCCATAGGTAATTCCATTATTTTTGTCTTTTTCTTCTATTTAATTTAATTTTTGTTTATATGTTTAGCAAGTTTCTCAATATACAGATAAGTAAAGCAAAATTGAAAAATAACATTACGAAATATAATTTTTCTTATAGGTTATCAATAGCTTTATCTTTGGTACTTATTATAACTTGGATTATAATGAAACTATTGTGACTGTTCTATCACACTATGTAGTTGTGGCATGTGTGATATTTTTATTTCATCTAAATAAATAAAACTCAAAAATATTTCAGTCTATCATCAAATTATTCTATCTCAGAAGACAAATAAAAATATTAAAAAGATATAAAAAAAGGATATGACGAAAAATCATGATGAGTTATGAAAGAGTATATTTCATATTTATCATGATATACATGTCTAAGAAATAAAAATGCGCATTCCATTCACGACGGAACGTCTCCGAATGAGATTATCCAATCAAGCTGATATTTTGCCAACAAGTAATAGTGATGTAACCAGCAGATCGTGAGTGGTAGGGCAGTGTTCTATAATCTTAGGGGTAATCTATAAAATATAATGCCAATGATACTAATTAACGGGTATGGCATAAGAAATTGCCGATTTTTGATAGATTATTTTCTCGAGTTAAGCTGGCTCAGAAAGTTTCGTTCTGATGTTAAAAGATAGAAAATTTTGCGTAGATTTTATTGATATGTTCCTTTCAAAATGAACATTTGTTCTTTTCCTGAGGCATTAAAGGTACTGTATATCACAAAAACATATTTTGCTAAACTGTAAAATGAGACACTTTTGAACAGAAATAGTTGTCCAGTTAATTTTAGTTTAAAAATTTCTTCTTAGTGGTAAGAGATGTAAAATTTTTCGGTGTATCTACTGTTATGTTGGTTTTTATACATTTAGCTGTTTCTACTTAAAATAAAAACACAAAACACTAAAAAAAAGTATGCTCAGCCAACAGAATCATAGGTTTCGTTGCCAATGTTTTGAAAAATTGATTTTTATAAAAAAAAAGTATTCTTTTTATATCAATAGATGCAGAATTTCAAGCTCTACAAAATGCTCTTCATCATAAGAATTGAATTGCATTTGTAACCTAGTGATGAAGCTAAGATCTTTTCCTTAACAAAAAGGCGCCAAAAATGAACAAATAGACCTTTTTTTTTTGCAAGTGACTTTCAAAAAGAAAAAATATTTATCAGAGAATTTGGTGTTGTGTCTCAAAAACAAATACTTTTCTACGTTTTTTTCATACTGGGTTTAGATAGCATCGATGAAATTATTTAACGAAGAAAAATGACAATTTATTCTAGTAAAATGTTGAGCAATTATGTTTTTGTGATAGCCAGCACCTTTAGCATTACAAGAACAGAACAAAAGATCATTTTAAAAGGAACATATCCATAAAATCTAAGCAAAATTCTCTATCTTTTAACAGCACAACGAAGTTTTCTGATCGAACATAAGTTGAGAAAACACCCTATCAAATACTGGCAATTTCCTCTACCGTACCCATTATTAAGTTTTTTTTTATTCCATTGATAGGACGGCACTCGATGTAGCCCATTCTTGATTGCGCCACTACATTGAGAAAAGAAACATTAATGTTGTTTAATGTATACAATGATGTAGTTTTTGTTCCGATCATATTTTTGAAACTTTCCTATTGTTGGGATGTTTGAATAGTATGAAAGTTTTAGTTTAGTAGAACCTATTCATGAGAAGTATGTCCATATACAACTAGAGAAGTTCTTTTTTTTTATTTCGCAACTCATTTTGATATATCCTACTCATTCTTTCGACAAGTCGTAACAAAGCGAGGCACATTCATCCTTTTCTCCATCGTTCTCTATATAAATCAACCAAAGCAATTGTGACGTGCAAAAAAAATTCCAATCGATCGATGACGAAATTCTCCATTCTCTGTTGGAACTGGATGAATGGCATCTCAAAGAAGCGCTTTATACGAAAGAAAAACAAATGTCTGCTGGCCCGAACACATTAATACAACCATAGGCGTTATTTCTTTCCAACTTGCAAGACGTTATCTTGATTTCATTTTTTCTTCATTACCATAGAAAATAAATACGTGGCTGTTTTGCTTACCTTCTTCGCAAAACGAACGAATTCTGTTTCTTTTTCTTTTTCTTTGTTTTGCTTCACCATGAGGATTGACTTGTTGATGCATATACACACTAGAGAAAGCAAACTTGATGTATTGTGCGTAAAAGAAATGCTTCGAACATTGCATCATTTAACCAATGAACCTATGTTCAGACACAAGTTACTGACCTAAATTTCATTTATCTTCTAGAATTTAATCTAAAACATGTCTTAAAATGTAAGGATAAAGACGATATTTTATCGATTCGTAAAGAACTATCAGAACTTTGTTGAATTGATAATAAATGCAATTTCATGCAAAATTGAAAAGTTATGCATCGTTGTTTTAAAATATCATTAATGATCTTTGCAATCAGAACTAGATCTTGACACTCAAATCAAATGATCACATTGAATAGTGAAATTTAGAAGGAAATAAAGATCATCATTTAGTGAGCTTAGTCAATTATATTTTCGATTCCAATCGTTTAAATATTTCACATTTTTTTAGCGTCTTATAAGGCTATTTAATTCGAAAACTTGATTTTATATGCTATGAAGCGAAGTTCAAATTTCAAACTCTGAAAGCGATATCAAACTCCTTCTGATATAAAAATGAAAGTCATTTTTATAAATTCATCATTGAGCATTAAATGAATATGAAATTCGGCTATATCATTGAATACTTAATAAGCTGCAGTACAACTATTGTAAAAAGTCAGCCATAATTCACTTCCGATTGCTCGTAAACTTTATGAATATTTATTCTCCACATTACTCTTGCCTCTTTCTTTCCTCCAACCTCTTTTTACTTTTTCTTTTACGAGAAGTATGTGTCTGCGCAGAATAATGTCAACACATAATCTTTGTCGTTAAATGAATCACTCTCTCTTCTTCTCAGCGAAATTCGATTCAGCCTAAACAAAGGAAGAGAAGAAAGAGAAGAAAGAGAACGTTGTTTTCGTCAGTTTCATATAAAAAGACGTGCAATAATTCAAACTGTACACGAGAAAAAAGTCTAAAAGGTATAAAGTATCACAATCTTAACGTGGTGTCATCATCATAAGTCAATACAACGTCACTAAAATCAACAAAGGAATTCATCATATTCTATAATAATGCTTCGATTCACTAACGTCGATCATAAACCAACACGACTTCCACCTGTCTATGGATATCGCACTCATCCGCTTCTTCCACTTCGACAAGCTCTTGATCCTATTGTCTCTAGAATAGATCAATTAGATGAATTTATTAAAATTGCAAAGAGTGAATGTCATTTTCCTTCAGAACATGGTCTTACTCGTGAAGAATCAGCGTCAATTTATCTATATACTATGGATTGGGGTGAACAAAGTCTCTATCGAATACTCAATGGAGTTCTTCGTGAGAAAGATCGATCAGTATTAATACCATGGCATGGTTATCTCAGATTATTCGATACTGCATTAAAAAAACTACCTAGTCTTCAAATCAATTTATGGCGTGGTATCAATGGTGACGTTAGTAAAAATTACAAAGAAAACGATGAGCTAACTTGGTGGTGTTTTAGCTCGTGTTCATCTTCAATTAAAGTCGTCAAACAGTTTCTCGGATCTACATCAACATTGTTCATGATTGAAGTAAAGAATGGAAAAGCTATATCAGTATATAGTAATTTTCCAGAAGAAAATGAAGTTATTATTCCATTGGGTACTCGACTTCGTGTTGTCAGTGATGCATTAGATCATGCGTCATTAAATGTGATACACTTGCGCGAATTGGTTGATGAAAATGATCAAGAATTAACATCATCCTTTGCAAATATGGGTGTCACTACATCAATCAAACCTCAAATGGGTGAGTAGCTACTTTCTAATAGATTAAGTAGACAATGATTGTTACTTCCTAGATTACAAAGAAACACTGCCAAATAACGAATCTTCGACATTTAAAATCTGGACTGACGAAAATGGAAACAAATATGATATCACAGTTCGCATATCATATGATGGCAAATTTCGTTATTCAATGTTGACGAATGTTTGTCATATCTTTTACATTATAAGAGAACAACGACTAAGGTGCATGGAAGAACGGGAAAAAACACGGAAAAGGCACGTATTACTTTGCCAGTGGGGAGAAGTATACAGGTGATTGGGTCGACGACATGCGAACAGGTCAAGGTGTTTATACTTGGCCAAATGGCGATCGATACGAGGAGGAATATTCACAAATCTCTTCTTCTGGTCTATTATGATGGTCTATGTATAAGAAAGAATAGTTGATACAATCTACGAACAACTGATGGGAC